CCCCTTAACTGCTAAACTTGCATGAAAGAATGTATGTAAATAAAAACAACTCGTAGCTCACTAATTACAAAGACAAACATAACATGAATACAACATACAATGCACACACCACTTCTAGGGTACGCCTCACTCGTTGCCTTCGAAACGTGGTCGTCAAGTATATGACGTCTTAGCGGTCCTTATGTCCATGATCAAGTTGCCTCGAAACAGTTGCCTCGAAACAGTTGCCTCGGAACAGTTGCCTCGAAACGGTTGCCTCGGATTAAAAAAGGATCAAGGACATAAGGGTAGCTTCTAAGGTGTCCTAACTGTTGCTTTGGTGACCACACTGTCCCGATAATCGAATTGACCCGAACACCTCCAACGATGGTGCTACCTACCTCTCAATGGTGGGATAACACTATCTAAAGGACCCTTACACAGCCTAATTCCTTAGGGTAGGTAGATGACTCATGGGTACTTGCTCTTTTCAAACAAACAAAATACTTTTCACACCTTAAACTTTCAAAAGCTTTCAAAACAAATTTTTCAAACACTCTTGAGGACAGATACAAGAGTCATTCAGAAATCTTTCAAAGAAACTTTTTTCAAAACCCACTCACATTTGAAAAGCAAACATCATTTTGAAAACATAAAAAGCAAGTATCTAAGAGCCCATGGATAACCATGGATAGAAAGGGTGCTAACACCTTCCCTTTCTATAAATCTACCTCCCGAACCGAGAAACATTCTCAATAAGGAATTTTGCTGTGCTTTTGTCCTTTCCATGTTGGAGAACATAAATGACGGTGGCGACTCTTGCTTACCGCGACATTTCGCGAAACCAGCTTAAAAAACAGTTAGTTCTCATTCCCACCGATCACACACGCAATCCTTGAGATCGACATTCGGGGAATTTCCCTGTTATTACAAGGGGCAAAAATAGTACACTTGCTATTTTTTCTATCAGATACTCCAATATTTTTGGCTCATTATATTATATACACGTATCTAAGAAACTCAAAAGGAAGCTTGATAATAGAGGTCAAGCCATGATCTTGGTTGGTTACCATTCCACAGGCGCCTACAAGTTTTTATCACCAAATGAGAATAATGTGGTGATTATGTGTGATTTGATGAAAGCAAATGATGGAATTAGTTTAGAATAATGAAAGAAGGTGAAGATTCAAGCCACATCAGAACCACTCTTCAAGAAGATGACCAAGAAGTAGAAACTGAGCTAGCATAACCTTAGGAAGTAAGTATAACCATAAGTTTCAAAATTTAATCAGTTAGATTGAATGATTATGAGAGGTTTGGTAATCAATTTATTGGAGAAAATAGTGACCTAATTAAAGAGGCCATGATGGTTGAATCCGAACAAATTAATCCCATGTCTCTATATGGATGATCTATTAGTCACAAGTTCTAATGAAAGTGGATTAGAGAAATTCAAGTCAAGCATGAAGGATGAGTTTGAAATGTATGATTTAGGAAATTTGGCATATTTCCTAGGAATGAAAATTGTGAACACAAAACATGAAGTTTTCTTGCATCATAAGAAATATGCATAAAACATCTTGAAGAACTTCAAGATAAGCATTTGTAACCCTGCAATTATACCTAGGATACCAAAATCAAATTGAAGAAGGAATTAGAAGATAAATTAATAGATATCACATTATACAAGCATATCATTGACTCATTATAATATCTTTGCAACACAAGTCCATATATTTTTCATAGTATGGGATGGATTAGTATAATTATTGAAGAACCAAGACTATGTCATTTACTTGCAAAAAGAGAATTTTGAGGTACATTAGAGGTACAACAGACCATAGAAAATTCATGCCATGTTAACAAAGCACCAGTATGAAGGCCAATATTTATGGATATTCAGACTCATATTGGATTGGTGATCAAGAGGCGCTACTACAAATAATACATTTCATGACGAAACTTCCACCTCAGCCAGAGAAAAATAGAGGTATAATGTCAAGGCGCGCCATATTTTATTTTTTATAAAAATAAATAAAAAAACTACATATTTCCTCGGTGTTTAATATAACCGAAGGGGAAAAGCTCAGGACATGCTTTGAATCCCAGCTATTGCAGTTTATGTTTTTATTTATTTATAAGTGTAAAATAAACTATCTAACCATTTGGTTTTCGATATAACCGAGGGATAAAATAATCAGCTTTTATTATAAAAGTACTCATTAAATAGATTTACCTTAATTCTTACTTATATGAAGCCTCCCCAAACTCGCATGCATCATTCTTTTGGGATGAATTGCAAGACAGAAAAATATTCAATGTTCTTATATCTTTGAACAAAACAAGTTTTCTCCCTTGCAATCGATCTCACATAATAGTGTTGATGTTGTTGTTATATTTTTCCTCATTTGATAGATTGCAAGTGTAGAAAATCATTCTTTCTTCAAGTTAAACAAAAAAGGGAGCTCAACCTTTGGAAAGTTAAACAAAGAAGGGAGCTTAACCTTTGAAAAGAAAATTTCTCATTGTTGGAACAGATAACTTATCAGAAGATGGATATCACCAAAGATATTCAGTAATAAGAGCAAAGATCTATTGTAAACAATTTATTTTAATATTATGTGTAAACAATATAATTTCAAAGAAAAAAAAGAATTATTCACCTCGGTTTTGTCAAAAGCGATGTGATAGGTATAATAAGAAGATAATTTATATAAAAATAATATTTTACGATAAAAACTCTCGTTAAAAAGATTTTACCATAATACTAACTTATATGTAGCCGCCCCAATGGGAAGAAATATTTACCAACGTCCATTTCATGAGTTGCTACTACAAAAAAATCTTTTTGGGTGGATTTGCCATGAAATTTTTTGATCTAGAAACACTCAAGAACTTGGGAATCAGATCTCTAGAATGGATTGCAAGTGCAGAAAATAAAAATTCTCATGGTGGGAACATATAACTTATCAGAATTTGAATAAGTTATGGAGTTTTTTTTTTTGTTGAATTAAGGATATGCAATAAAATTTAGATATCACCAAAGATTTGTTGTAAATAATGTATTTTAATATTCTATGTAAACAATGTAATACAAAAAAAAAACTTATTCACCTTGGTTTTTGATTTGAGCCGAGGGATATGTTAAGCCTTTTTTTTGAGGATTTTCACCAGTCTTAAACAAATCTTTTTCGTTCATTTAATGATTATAAATGCTCAAGACTTTGTCATTAGTGATCCGCGTGAAACCTAAGAGACATCCATTATAAATTCATGTCGAATATTAATATTTCTAACCTAAATGGAACATGAAGCGCTTGAAACCTAAAGACGCTTGGAAAAGTTCTTTATGATGGATTGCAAGAGCAGAAAATTATCGAAGTTTAAAGTTTGTTTCCTTAAATATTTATTTGAACTGAAACTCATATATTTGAATATTGATTTTAATTATCTTTCCATTTTTTTCATCAGATACAAATGCATCAGAGGTCCGTAGAGAACAATCTTGCACCCAACATTTGATCTTCCCCAAGATTCAATAATTCAAAGATCTAAAATCTAAATCTTCAGAGAATTTGATTTTTATCTAGATCTATGGAGAATTTGATTTTTTATTTTAATATTTTATATAAACAATATAATATTCTGGGTAAATAATGTAACCATTTAAAAAAAAATATAATCTTACCGGTCGGTTTTTTAGATAAACCAAGAGATAAGATACACTAATTTTGAAAATAATAAAAGTATTGATGTTGGGATTCGTACCCATGTGTATATAACTTTACTTCTCAGTTTTTAAATCACTGAGGTGTTAAGTGACAACTTTTCACGATGCCCTTCGTTACCTCGTTTCTTTAGCCGATGTTAAATACATTTCGCATCCGACGTATTATGTGTTTTTTATAGTAGTGATGATATAAGAGTAACACTGATTATTGTTCATGTTTGGACCAACACCGATTTCACGGAGTTAAAAAAACCAAGGACTTACGACTTTGCCTTCATGTGAGGCAGAGTATGTTACAACCTCTTATGTTATAGGCCAAACATTATGGTTGAAGATGCTATTTGAAGAGTTAAATGTGAACAACTTTGTGCAAATCAAGTTGTTAGTAAACATAAAGAGAAGGTACACTATTTCCTAAGGGATCAAGCAAATAAAAAATCTGATAGAGAAATGCTGAGAGTTGAATATTACAAAATTGAGTTGCAATTGACAAATATCTTCACTAAACCCTTGAAGCAAACAAGATTTGAAGACTTCAAAAGGATTAATGGAAATGAAAAGCTTAGAAAATCTAAGTTAGGAAGAGTATTCTATTATAATTCAATTTTTAAAAGTTAGAAATTAGTTATAAAGTGATTAGACAATTATAACTGACTTCACATATAATTACTATTAATTTCAATTTTCACATGTGATTACTACTAATTATATATCTAATTATATATGTGGTTATTACTAACTCTTTATATGGTTATTAACTAGAAAATAGTTAATTAATAATATAATGATGCAACTCATATTTGAAGTCACAACTCAAGTAATAACTTTCTTATTACTCTAATTTCATCTATCTTTTTTAAACTCATTATCTTGTGTGTTAAAATATCCCAACAAATATGACTCATAGGCAAGGAAGATCTAATAGTCATTAAAGAGAATCATTAATTAAGATTTAGAGTAATTCTTTAAATATACTATTATTTTAAAAAACCATTCTACCAAAATCTAGAATAAATATTGAAGATAGTCCAAATCCACGGCGTGCCACCTTAAAATTTCATGAAGAACGAATTAAAGCCGTCTTTACCATAAAAGTTTCCATACAGAGTTTTTAGTCATTTTTGCCTTTGTTTAAACATTATTATCATTCCATAAAAAACAAAACACAAGTGAAGTGAAGTGAAAAGAAAAGAAAAATTGAAATAATCAAACAAAAAGAATATTCTATTTATTTAACAACCACCACCAACAAGAAACACAATTTGTATATTGTATAAATAAAGTGTAATTGATGGGTTTTTCTTTCAAAATTAACAATAATTTTTCTGCAGCTAAATCTAAGCAAAAGAAACCGACCACAACAACAACAAGAGGCAAAAAATCTCAGATAACAACAGAGGTGAAATCGAAGAAGAAATCTAGTAGGAGAAAAATGTGGTTTGTTTATGTATGTGAAGAAGAAGAGAAGGAATTGGGAAGACAACAAGCATCAGGTTCTTGTCCTTATTGTGGTGGAAAAGTTGAAGCTATGGATGTTGAGATGCAATGGAGGTTTTGCTTTTTGCCTATGTGTTTTAAGATTAAGAGAAGTTATTTTTGTACTTCTTGTACTAGACGTTTAGAATTGAAGTATTAATTATCTTTCATGTTTTTGGTTTTTTTCTTCATCTTCTTCTTTTTTTATTCAGTCAGTATCTTTGATTTTCTTTGATTTTTTTTATTTGGTTCAAGTTTGTGGGTGGAAATGGAAAGGAAATTAAAAGTGGGATTTGTTAAGTCTGATTTTATTCTTTTTTTCTATTGTTTGTTTCTGTTTCTTCTGTTTTCCTTATAAATGTGGATGGAGAGTTTCAATTTAGTGTACTTTGAAACATATTTCGGTTACTGTGTTGATTCTTAAAAATAAATAAAGGCTTTATGAAAAATAATGGCAAGAATAACTTTAAGAGTTTACCTTATAAAAAAAACTTGGATAGTTTAACTTCTTTTACATTTAAGTTGTTTGAACCCATAGCTATGTGCATTATAAAAGTCCTAACATTCCTTCGAATTAGAATCCTTGTTGAGAATGTTTAAGGAATACATATGAAAAGTTTGTTAGCTTTTTCAGAAACAAAACCTAGAAATGTTTCATCCACCAAACCATTGTCCAGCAAAACTAGAGATGTCAGTTTGGACCTGTTAATGGGGATCCCCGCGGGGAACGCCCCGTTCGGGGCCCCAAAGATGGGGAATTTTCCCCCGTGGGGGCGGGGATGGGGAGAAAAATTCCCCCGAGAGCATTTCGGGGACGGGGACGGGGAATACACCCCCCGCCCCGCGGGGACCCCGCCCCGCCTATTATTTTAATATAGTTAATTTAATATATATATTTTAGATTAGGTTTTTTAGTCATTTCCTTTATGTTTATTTATGTTTATATGTAACTTTGTTTTAAGTATTTTGATATTTCTACTTTACGTGTGTTATCAATTGAGCAAATAGAGATATGTTGACTTTTGCTTTTAGTTGACTTATTATGAAGTATTTTTTAGCTTTTCAAGCATACTCATGATGCTAAATTTTATAATTATCCCTTATTAGTTTTGATGAAGTATAGTTTTTTAAGCATAATTATGTTGTTGGATTTTTTTAGTTGTTTAGGCATATTGTTACTTTAAAAAGTATTATAGTTCATTTTGTTGAATTTTATAGCATTTTATAGAAATTTATAAAAAAAATATTATTATTTTGTGTTCCATTAGTATTTTTAATAAAAAATAATAAATGTCAAATACTAGTATTTTTTAATAACATAATAAATATGTGAATTCTTTGTGCTTTTTATTTTTATAGAAAATATAAACATTTTAAAAAAATAAAATATTAATGAATAAATGTAGGATCTATGGGGATCCCCGCGGGGAACGGGGATCCGCGGGGAACGGGGATGGGGATAGAAATTCCCCCGTGACGGAGATCGGGGACGGGGACGGGGAATGAATTTGATGGCGGGGAAAAAGATGGGGAAGTGTCCCCCCGGCCCCGCCCCGCCCCATTGACATCCCTAAGCAAAACACCATTCTTGTTAAAAACATTTTCGTAATGATTTAAAATATGATTTTCAATAATAGTTATATCAGTTGTTACATCATCATTAATGTTCAACGAATTGTTCATATTAGTGGGTCTTTTGATTGTAGCTTATATGATAAAAGTGTGACAAGAGATTGAGGAGCAAGTGTCAATCTAACTGAAGTTACAAATATATGTTGTTTTCGGATTTTAAAATATTTTCTACCGAAGAAATTATCAGGTTGAGTCGCAGACTAGGCCGCTCTCTTTAAGACGTTTCGCGGCACTGCTCAATTACCGCGCCGCCTCTAGGATAAAACAGCCTAGTTCTATATCATACGATTACTACTTGCATGATATATAATCGGTCTAGAAATACACCCCTGTGTTGGCTGAAGATTTTGATAATGTTATTTAGAAGCCAAATGAGTTAAACGTTTTTGATCGAAATGGAATTAAACGTCATATTTCGAAGTAGCAGAAGCAGTGTTTCGAATAAGTGTGTCAAAGCTTGGAGCTTCGAGCGGCAATTATGGGAACATATCTAAAGAAGTCTCGAAATAACAACAAGGCTGTATCTGGGAAGAGCGTTCGAAACGGAGAAACACCAAAGCATTTAAAATTCAAATGGAAGCGGGACTTTCAAAGTTTGAAAGTTATGTGTTGGAGCATTTGGGGACACGTGGAAAGATGAAAGAAGCATTGTCCTGCATGTTCGAAACGTGGCATAATCCTATAGCAAGACCGTTATGGTCGAATTAGTATAAATAGAAGTCTTAGTATTAGGATTTCGTGTGTCATATCTATTATACAAAATACTCAGTAACATTCAAACTATCACATGGCAAGGGAAACGAATGCAAGAGAAATGTATGTATGATAGCACCATGTATTTATGATTTAATGAAAACCTTTCACCATTTCCAGTACTTTCCTTTATCTTTTCGTCAAATAGCATTTACAAGTTTTCTTATTTACAGTCTTTTCATTTCGAAATCTTTTCTTCAAAGTTTTACATTTTAATGTTTTTCTTCATATTTCAAGCACTTTATATCTCAGAAGATTGTCATATTTTCCATACCTTTACCTTCAAGTCGTATCCTTCGAACGCATATTTTTACTTAAAAGTTATTTAAAGATTTCTCGCATTAGACGCTTTCTTCACATTTCAAACTTTTACGCTCCAGAAATCCTTTATATTAACTGTTTTGTAAGTCGAAACCATTTACTTCATTTTTATGCAGTTTTATATGTCTTTACAATTAAGCATTACAATTAGCATTTATTCATGTAATTTAGTTTTTACACACATTTTGATTACATCTTTAGACTTTTAGAGAGAGAGAGAGAGAGATCGAAATAAGCCAAACACGTATACAATATCAACCATGAATATTTGTTCGATTGTGAGAGTAACCTTAATATCCAAGGAGTCCTAGGATCAATCTAGTCGATCCTGTGAGTTACCAGAGGAATTGAATAACAGTCAGAAAGATTATTCGATAGTTTGGAAGACTAGCGGTTGTTTATCAGAAATCACTGGAAACAAATTGGCACACCCGGTGGGACCAATAATTGGATATCAGAATTAAGGATTGTTGAGACATAACCATTACAAAAGCGTTGGAACCTAAGAAGTTTGCTGTTTTATGAACCTAAGAAGTGGTAAGATAACCAACAGCAACCAACCTTTATCCAGAAGAAAACGTTTGGACAAAATGTCTAATTCAGACAATCAACAAGGGGACCAAAGTGGCCCATATGCAACAGGCACTAATGCGTCCACTTCGATCGGAACATCTAATGTAATCCCTTCGAATGCACAATCTGTTGCATCTTCGACCAGTAACATAATCACCAATGGAGTAAGTGGCATATCAACTAATAGTTCGATCTTTGGAAATACTGGAACTATTGGCTACCCTGGGGGATTCGTTCCACCATCAGGGACACAATCCCATTTCGCCACTCCATTAACTAGACCACCCGGTTTCGATGGGAATAGAACCAGAAATTCCTCTTATGGAATGCCAACATATTTTATGGCAGGTTTACACAATTCCACATCGAATTCATCTCCACAACTAGGGTCTGGGTCTGGGGCGAATCAGTTTATGACAAATAACCAAGGGTCGGTGGGTTATAGCACAATGCCTATCCTATCCACAGACAACCAGTTGGCTTTTAGGCAATTTATGGATGACAGTAACCATAATATGATAGGGGTGTTAGCACAAACCATGCAGGAGATATTTGCCCCAATAGTGCAAAATGTGACTGTGACAAACAGGGAAAACGCTGACAATATGAGTCGAATAGCAGATTTCTTCGCTCCCCCAGAAAGGCGTAGGCAGAATCAGGCGGGATTTCGAACAAACACGCCTGTTATAGAACAAATTGCTAACGACCCAATTTATAGACCACCCAGAGAAGAAGTTAACTTAGGGGCCAGGGCACCAAGGTTAGAAGCCCCAATAATCCCGGGCCCACAAAGGGAAATTATGGAACCAGGGGCAAGGGTCGAAAGGCTAGAAGCCCCAGAGTTTCGAGAAGAACAACCTAGGGGAGTTGTTTTGGTTGGTCGAAATCAAGATGTCGGTGCCTTCGTTCATAGAATTCGAAACGATAACATCTTGGCAGAAAACAACCTAACCACCATGATAGAGAGGGTCATGGCCCAGAATGGCCTCAACACAGGAATGAGGAGGCCAAATTACGCTTCTCCTATATTGGATTGCATAATGCATACTGATTTACCAAGGGGATATAAAGTCCCTAAATTTACAAAGTTCGCTGGGGATACCAATGAGTCAACAGTCGAACACATAGCGAGATATCTAACCGAAGCGGGAGATATAGCCAATAATGAAGATCTCAGGATCAAATACTTCCCAAGTTCCTTGACAAAAAACGCCTTCACATGGTTTACCACTTTGCCTCCTGGGTCTATTGACACTTGGGCTCTCTTAGAGAGATTATTCCATGAACAGTTTTACATGGGACAGTCGAAAATAAGTTTGAAGGAACTGGCCAGTGTTAAGAGAAAGTTCACCGAACCCATAGATGATTATTTGAATAGGTTTAGGCTTTTGAAATCCAGATGTTACACAGTGGTGCCTGAACATGAGTTAGTCGAAATGGCCGCTGGTGGCTTGGATTATTCTATTCGAAAGAAACTAGACACTCAGTATTTGAGGGATATGGCTCAGTTAGCCGATAGGGTTCGACAGGTCGAAAGACTAAAGGCTGAAAAAGCCAGAGTCTTTAAGAATAGCAAGAAAGAAAGGATTTCCTATGTTGGGACTGAGGAAGCAGAAGAATATCCTGAATTCGAATTCGAAGAGGTCGAAATTGACCTCGCTGAATTAAAACAGGCCCCGCCTTATTCCTGCAAAATGTTAGTTCCCACAAAAGGGAAAGATATTGTTGAAAATGAAAAAAGTGACAAATTTCCAAAGAAGGTTTATACCTTCGACGTCACCAAATGTGACGAGATTTTTGACTTACTTGTCAAAGATGGCCAACTAATTGTGCCATCAAATGTCAAAATACCTCCTTTGGATCAGAGAAAGAAGAGGGGAT